CTCCGCTTCACAGGATCCACAGAGACCTACTGATACTGCTCAGAGGGAAATCTGATCCCAGTCGTGAAAAGCGGGCAGAAATCAGCTCAAAGATGCTGAAGCTGGGGTAGGAGGGAGACTGCTGGAGCAAGGGAAGTAAGGCTTGTCTGGAGGCAGACAAGTACCACTTCTAGCCGTGGTTTTTCCATTTACTGTCTGTGTGAGATTGGACCAGTTACCCAATGGCTCCAACACTCAGCTTCTTCCACCATAAAATGAGATCACTTTGTGCTCCTAACCTTTAAGATTATTGAATGAGATCATGTATGTTATGTGACTAGCACATGGTAAGCATCAAGAGATGTTACTGCTACACTGCTATGATCCAGAATAATTAGATTCCTGTAAATGATTGGGTGGTGATGAGTGGGGCTAACCCAGGGGCTGGAGTGAGAAGGAGAAGGAAGCGCGGTCCCAGCCGTCTATCAGGGGTGGATTCTGAGATTAGAGGAGAGTTCTAGCTCCAAGGGTGGGGCTGGGCATGGAAGCTGATCTTTATTCTGCTCTGTAGCCTGGGTGTTCAGGGATCAAATGACACAGGGTCGGGGAAGGCCAGGAGGATGTGGCCAGACTGGGAGCTTCCGCCCCAGACTGGAAACCCCAGTAACTCTGCTTTCGGTCTGGAGTAAGGGCTCTTTGGCCCTGACTCTGGAGTCCAGGTTTGCTGCATTCACGGCTAATGGAGCTCCTATAACTGCACTGTAACCACAAAGGGGAAGTGAAGCCATAACCCGGCCTCTGGCGCTGGGCACCCATTTCAGATGGGAACCTGGAAATTAGAGTCCCAGGCGGGCCTTGGGTTTTTCCTGTAAACACTCAATTAATGGGCAGTTCCTCTCTCTGTGTCTGCAAGTCCTGTTGTCGCTAAGATACAACTCAGACCCCAAGTGAGAAGGGGCCTCCCAACAGATGCCTCCGTCCTCACTGGATCATGTTCTTGCCTGAGGAGCCGGGCTGGGGGGTGCTCCAAGTGCTGGGTTTTCTCCTTCGGGCTTTCTCCTGGAGATCCTGGGGCAGGGGCTGGGCTTGAGGGTCACACAGCCTCCCCTGACTGGAAACGCAGCTGAGAACCCAGGGCAGGAACCGGGCAGAGAAAGATGCGGGGCCCAGGTGGCTGAGGAGGGGATGGCCTGATGGATGTAACTGACCTGGACCCCTTGGTGCTCCTGGGATTTCAGTGCGAACAAAGCCCTGGCTCTGGGGCCTCTGGCTTTCTTAGCAAAGCCCGATATCACCAATGACTGGGGAACAGCGACATCTCCCGGCTGCCTGCGGCCACGGCTCTTCTCTGTGGTTGGAGAACGACAGGGCGTTCAGAGACCATCTTAGGGACTGGATGCCTTTAGAATCCTGGAACAAAGAAGATCAGTCGTCTGGGGTGAAGCCCAAGATTCTGCATTTCTAACAAGCTCTGGCCTAGGGATGGCGCTTTGATTAGAAAGCTTTGTATATGTCAATTATATCTCAATAAAGCTGGAGGAAAAAAAAGAAAAAGCTTTAGGGGGCTCAAAGATGAGTCAGATCTGGTCCCAGACATCCCTAAGATCTCAGGGAGGGAGATGATTTTCCACATATGAAATCGGTCAATCACAAGGCAATATCAGGATGGAGGAGCAGGGCATGGGAATGCTTCTTGGAGAGGTGGAATCCAAAGGGTGCTTTGAAGGGTGGTCAGATAGACCTTCACTAGGGACAGCTTGTCTGAAGGACTGACTAGGGACAGCTTTCCTGTGCCCTGTGCCTGGTACTTGCACTGAGTCTACTAACCCAGAAGAGCAGCCCGGTTAATAGCTATAGTAACTGACTTGGTACAAAGATTCCAAACAAAGTGACTGTTGTGGTCGCTTCGGCAGCACATATACAAACAGGGTGACAATTTAAAATACTCATGGGATGGGGGGAGGGTAGAGTGCATGCTTAGCATGCACGAGGTCCTGGGTTCAATCCCCAGTACCTCCTCTCGATATAAATAAGTAAACCCAATTACCTTACCCCCATAAAAAATAAATAAATAAATAAATAATAAATAAATAAAAATTTAAAAAATAAAAATAAAATAAAATACTCATGGGAGTAACATTTCCAAGCAACCTAGTCACTTAATTGATTCGCTAAGTATAATCGACTTCACCTATGTAAAAGAGCTCTTCTAATGACCTTCTCAAATGCAGACTTTTCCAGAAAGAGATGAACATCTAATGTTTATAGACCACCCAACCAATCACAGGCCTTTCTGCTTGGGTAGGATGTGAAGTAGGAGAAAGGACCCCATTTCACAGAAGAGGAAACTGAGGCTCAGGTCAAATGACTTTGCCTGAAGCCACTTCACAAGGGCAACCCTGGCCCCTCACTCTGACACAGCACTCATGAGCACTTCTGTGATATCTGCTGCTGCTGACTCCATAGAAACAGGGCTAGAAGGACAGAGTCAGGGGCAGGAAGTGTCAAGGGAATCTGGGAGTCTGGGGTCCAGGCCTCCCATCCCTACACGGTGGCCTCAGATTGGGAACACTGCCATCATCCAGGGAGGGAGATGAAAGCAGCTTTTACAAAGCAAGGTCTGAAGCCTTGGGACAGGCCCCCTTTGTGGACTTCCTCTGCCCTCCCCACCCCAACGCTCATGACTTCAGCATCCCTCTCTGTGAATGGCTGGCTCCAGCATGCTAGAAATTTGCAACACAAATGCACGGCTTGTCTCTCGGTGGAGCCTCACTGCCCCAGCCTTTTGGAGTCTTTTAAAGCTGGCCTTTCTCTGGGGTGCTTTCTTTCCACAGCTCGAGCCCCCAGCCCTTACACACAGGCATGATCACTAATTAGCACTGGGTTAAAACCCATCCTGGGAGGAGAGCCGGGTGGTGAGTGAGCCGTTCCCATCCATCCCAGAGGATAAGGATGAGGGGGCTGGCAGTGGGATTTGGTGGAGGGGACTGGGCTCTCACTTTCAAGGCTTCCTCCATTCTCTTCTGTGATGGATTTGAGAATTTACAGCAAATTAAGTTCATCACCCAGGATGGCTCCAAGCTCTCCCTGCCCTGCTTTCAGAGCTCAGCTCTGATCATAAGAACTACACTAATGGCTGCCAGTTCCAAAGTGTATCAGACACTTTACAAGTGCGTTTCTGATCCTCACAACAACCTGGGGAGGTAGGTATTATCACGCCCATTGTACAGATGTGGTAACTGAGGCTTGGGGAGATTAAAAATTTTGCCTAGAATCACACAGCTTGCAAGTAGCAGATCTGATTTTTAAATCCAAATCCACTGGCCACACAAACTCGTGCACCCATTTTAGGCAGTTCTCTGCTCCTGTCTGACACTCTCCCAGCTTTACCATGACTGCTCCCTTTTCTTGATTCTTGGAACATTTAATGGTGTGTCCCTCTCTGGGTCTACCTGAGGTGATGGTGGCACGATTGCATAAACTTACAAAAGCTCTTTGAACCATAGACTTCAATCAGGTGACTTTTATGGGATGTGAATTGTACTTCAATAAAACCATCCAAGTTCTTTTTTTTTTTTTTTTTAAAGTTAAAGAATAAAAATTGGTGGGCCAAGGAACATTAGCTTCTTGTAGAGCCTTAATTTGCATGTCTTAATCCCTGGGAATCTGGCCTGACCTGACCACTTTGGGCATGCAGGGTGACATGCCACTCCATCCCTGCTTCCCTGGGGGAAATGGCCCATGTTTGCTCTGTGTCAAGAACGTGGCTCAGTGCAGGCTGAGACGCAGGATCACAAAGTTTCACTGCTGGGAGGTTCCTTCAGAGACGACTGGTTCTAACTGTGAACCATGAAGTCTTCCCAGGGGCAGGCAAAGAGAGTCTCCACTCTCTGATCTTCAACCAGAGCAGCCCCATTTAAAAAGTCTGTTGTATCTACTGCACTTCCATAGAAGATTTCCAAAGAAAGAGCTATGCTATTCATTTTTTTTGGTGGGGGGTGGTAATTAAGTTTATTTATTTCCCAGGACCTTGTGCATGCTAAGCATGCGCTCTACTGCTTGAACTGTATCTTATCCACTGTATTATTCTTTTAAAAGTTTGAAAGCAGCTGTTCTCTGCCAATTTTCGCTGGAGCTGGGTTGGGAGGAGGAACTGATGGTATAGAAACTGAGGCCTGGAGGGCAGAAGTAACTCGCTGAGGGTCACAGAGGTCATGACTGACGGACACAGGAGGGGTAGCAGGTCTCTGGACCCGGAGCTTAGAGCTATTTCCACTCCTCCGCAGCAGCCGTATGGGAAACCAGCGCTTCTGCCTCACGCGCTTTCTTGCCATTCTTGAGGATTCTTTAGCTGTAGGCTAGAGAAATCCAGAAGCACAAGTCTCACAAGGTTTTCCGCCTCTTCCCTCTCACTTCACACACCTCCCAGGCAGCTATCCGTGTTTGGCTTTCCTGACGCGTGAGGACGATGCTCCCTGGGCTAGCTGCCTGCCCCCAGCCTGTGACCGCAGCAGAAGTCAAGTAGAGGAAAATCTTGATAATTGGATGACAGGGGAAATAGCGAACAACTTTCCTCACTAAGGGGAGAAAACTAGTCTGTAATGTTGACTGCCCTAAAGTGAAATAAAGTTATACACGGACAAAACAAAATTATATGAACTTTTTAAATGGCGCCGTTATCTCAGACAGTAAATGAACCCTTGGGGTTTCACAGTTACGGGTGCTCCAATTATCAGAGTAGCAGTATTACACTCCCTGTTCCTCTTGGAATAATATTATAACTTTTAGCTCTGTCCATTCTCTCAAAGATAAAGGGGAAGTTCAACACGAGTCTTAATTTGCAAGGGGTGAAACCTCTTCCCCCATTAGGGTTTGTCAGTGTGATGCTAAAAATGGTCCTTTGGTGGACTTGTGAGTAATTGATTCTCTGACGCTGACAACACTTAGGAAAATGAAGGTATAAATGGTAAGAGCGCCTCGCGGCCGCTGGAGCAAACACTGAGCCCGGGGTCCGTGGAGCGGGAGCAGCATCTCATAGCAGAGGGAGATCTGCCGCATCAGAGGTGAGAGCGGGTGGCCCTGGGGGCTGGGCTGGATGGGGGCAAGAAAGCTGACCTTCTCACCAACTCAGAGACACCACGTCAGAGAGGCCCACTGCCATCCTCTTTGTCCATGGACTGGTGAGTACATTTTAGACCCCTCATTAGGGGCTCTGGAACATGCTTTTGATGGTTGGTGCCATTTTGAGGTTCTCTTGGATGTGTGGACCTCAGTCCATGAAGATGTGACGGGCAAATACGTGCCAGGTGTCTGTTGGAGGCAGATGAGGTCTCAGTGCTCCTTCGAGGATGTGCAGGTAGGCTTCTGGGGCAAGACGTCAGCTGGCTAGATTCTCCTGTCAACAACAGGATTCTGCAGTGGACCAGAAGGGAACCAAGTGGCTGTGCAAATCAATTCTGCTCACTGATCACTCAATACCAATTCAACATAATTGCCTGGAAATTAATAACATTTTTGCTCAACTGCAGCCATGCTCCTTACTTTAGACACAATTATCTGCCCTTGGAGAGCTCCATTGCCTCCCTGCTTGTCTCTTGACCCGTACTTTAATGGTCCTGAAGTATCTGTATCTTTTACCTTCTGTTTCTGGGAAGGAGGTGGGGTGTCACTCGTTTGAATGACCATTCAAGATGCCTCCTTATTAAAAACTTAGATCTCCTTCGACTTGGCACACTATTGGCAAAACAACTTATAGACTGGATCAGGGTGTCAATGCTTTAGCGTTCTTAAATTACACAGCAGAATATTTACGAAAGGTGTAAGTTTATTCCCCTAGGAGTTCAAAAATGGCCTTGTTGGTATGGCACTGGAGACCTGACCCCTGCTGTTAGCTGAAGGGTCATCGGTAAAATTCTTGTAGTGTTCCTGGCATGAAGGCTGGCAAAACGGTGCCAATGGATGTAGATCCAGTGCCCATTTATCCTGAATCCAGACGACCGCAAATATATTTCATCACAGAATCAGTTTGTAAGCCCCACGGAGAGCTGATGCTCGTAATAATAGCTACAAACTCTGAAATGCCTTTGGAGCCACCAAGGGGTCATCGACGGTGCCGTCAGACTCGTGCTGGATTTAATTCAGTGACTTCCAGCTCCTTAGAGTAGTCATGTGGAAGATGTCTACCAACGGCTCTTGTATCCTTAGTGACACACCCTCTATTCTTATACGTAAGCTGGATAATTCTCATTGTCTTCCTTCTTGGTCTAGTGGGATGTTGCAACCTCATGGATAAGGTTCTCATAGCCCGGAGATTACAATGGTGTCTTGGTCCATCCCTGGGCCATGCGGCTTATGGCAAATGTTGTGCCTCTGGGTTAGCCAGGTTATAAGGTTGCCTAGCCTCATTCTAAATGACCAGGGTTTACTGGATTTACTATGACTTGCCCCACCTCAAAGTCTCCCGTCTTATCAGATTGTTTCCAACTCTCTAAAACCATTGGATGTGCACAGGGACGCACCAACCAAGCAGGTGTTTCTATTCGTTCCCCTTTTTTCTTCCCCAGAGACCCAGTAACAAAGAACAGAAGCTTTCAGTCTTCTCAGGACGGTTTCCCATGTGCAGGTGATGAATTCTCAAGCTCCCCATGAATAGGGAGTACTGTGAATAGGGGACTGTATGTGAGAGGCCGCTTCACGGAGCAGGAGGAAGTCTGCTGGCCTGGGAATGGCAAGGCCCATTCGGAAGTGCCCACTCCAAAACTAATTTGTTGGAGGACCACGGATAAAGGCCCTTCTCCTCTGCAGATTCATTTCCTTGGCTGTAAAATGGAGATCATGATACATGTTCCTGTGGGCGAGCGTGAGGGTGGGCTGTGCAGGGGGACACGGGGCCTGGGAATCACTTGTGCCAGCCCTGGGAGAGAGGGCAGCAGGGAGGGAGGCCACAGGGGAGCTTAGATCAGGAGCGGGGGTTTGGGCTTTACTCTGAAGGGGGTGGGGTACAAGTGCTTCTGAGAGGGGAGTGAGGTGACTGGGGGCCTGGACGTGCCCAGGTCATTAACGAGTCAGCAGGGAAGAAGGCAAGAAAGCCCAGGCTGCGGCTGGGGGACAGAAAAATCTGTGGTTGTGTCAGGGAGACCTCTTTGCCACCAAAGATCTTCCTGTTTAGGAAATTCCGCAGTGGAGCTGGTCGGGAAGAGGGGAGCCAGGTGGAATAGGGTGTGATGAGAAGAGAAGACTGAAAGCCCCTGGTCCCGGAAGCCAAGGCCTAAGTCAGAGGCAAAAGTCTAAAGGGCTTGTCATGCGGATGAAGGTGCAGAAGCTCTGGGAGGCACAGCAGGTGGATGTCAACAGGGAAGCCCTTGGAAGCAAATGCCATGTTCTCATCTTTTCTCTAGCCCCAGTCCTTACCAGAATTGTAGAAGTTTAACAAGTGTCTTCAGGATAAGGAGACTTGGGCTTGACATGATGAGAAAAACTTCCTAACAAGAAGAACTGCCTGGAAGCAGGACAGACTCCCTGTCTCTCACCGGCAGCAAGTGTCTGAGCTGAAACTGGAGGACTGTCTGTTGGGGGAGGGAGATGGAGGGATGCACATCCAAGAGGGTCTGGTGACGGAGGCTGGGTGGCTGCTCCCTCCAGCACTGGAGGTACAGGGGTCTCAGGTAGCACTGAGTGGTCCCCATGGATGCTTCCTGAGGTCTCAGGACATTCCTGGGTGAGTTGAGACCCCAATGACTGGGAGAAGGTGGGGGTGTCCTGGGAGGGCACGTGAGCCCAGAAAAGGAAGTGGGTTCCACCAGGGCCAGCTCTGTCCCCTGGAGACAGAGTGATGTGGGGAGATGGTGGAACCTGAGGGGTCCTTCCCTCTCCGGGGCTGGCTGAGTCTTGGAATAGGCCTGTACCCCATGGAGTGGACATCCTGCTGAGAGGGGGTGCCCATGGGAGAAGAGAGGACCCAGTTCTTAGGTGGCTGAGTCATCCGAGGCCAGCCATTCCCACATGGCCGCTGGGCTGACAGCAGAGTCACCTCCCAAGCCAAGGCGGGCTCTCTCCTCTGTTGACTGTTCCTCCCCTAATTGCCAAGCACAGTGTCAGCAGGCCCCAATTAAGGGTAATTAGTGATCTACTAGATGATTTTGCCACATGGGCTCCCCAGGCTCCTTGGTCCCTTCCAGGGCTAAAACTCTTCTGAGAAATCTAACGGCCTGGAGCAAGATGTGTGGCCAAGACAGCCTGCCCTCTGAGGGTCTAATAATAGGTCATCAGAGCAGAGGTTTGTGGAGAACTCCGCACGTGCCAAGCATTCACTTCTGGTGCCTCAACTCATCTACCGCTCACAAGGGCCCCGTGCAGTGGGTAGAGTTATCAACTCCATTTTATGAATAAGGAAACTGAGGTCCAGAAAGGAGAAGTCCTGGGATACACAGCTAGTGATGGCGGTGCCCAGATGAGAACTCAGACTGCTCTGACTCAGAGCCTGAGCTGTTAGTCCCCCGTCCCCGCTACTGTCAGTGCCACACTGGGGGAGGGCGGTGGGGGTGCCTTAGGGGACGAAGGAAAGGTGCTTGCTCCTCCCCTATTCCTGGCTGAGGTCTGAATCCCATGTACAATGGCATTACAGGAAGGGGCAGTTTCACCATTATCCTTCATTCTGTGTTCAAGCCTGTGAGGTCAGCAGGGTAGCCTCACTGTACCCATTTTACAGATGGAGAACCTGGCAGAGGCAGAACTTGAACCAGGTGTGTCTGACTTCCAGAGTCTGTGTTCTTTTTCCCACCCCACAGCTTCCAAAGGACAAAGACCAAAGCTTGCATGGAGCCAAGCCCAGGGCTGGGCCCAGCCAGCAAAGGGCGTCCCAGCGGCTATGGCCACCCCTGACCTTCTCCTCCTGTCTGTCACTTCCCAGGTGCCACCGCAGGGGTGAAGGATGCTGCTCTGGGTGGTCTTCCTCGTGACCCTCACCCTCAGCAGCGGCTCCCACGGTTCCCCACCCTCCCAGCCCCTCAGGTAAGCAGTCCCGATAACAGGGCTTGGATTTCTGCCACCCCAAAGCCATCCCTGCCAGCGATAGTGCTAGGGGATGCAGAATTGAGCCAGCCCCTAGCCCCCAGCTATCTCCTCAGGCAGCTTCCACTGCTCCTCTCTGGGAGGAAGGCAGACTGGAGCCCCAGAGAGGTCACCCAGCCTGGATTCCAGCTCTCTCTGGGGATGAGCAGGACAAATGGCAGCAGAAGAATGTTACAAAGACCCAGTGAGCACAGCTACCTCTGCCCCTACCTGGGTCTCCCACTCCACCCTTTGACTGACTCTTTCTACTAGGATGCCGCGGTACGCAGATGCCATCTTCACCAATAGCTACCGGAAGGTGCTGGGCCAGCTGTCTGCCCTCAGGCTGCTCCAGGGCATCATGAGCAAACAGCAGGGGTGAGCAGATGTTCTAGTGACTTCTCCCCTCTCTCCAAATGCATCACAGTTTGGAGGGTCTCTTTCCTTGCATAGCATCTGTCATTTCTGGACTTGCCTTAGCAGAAGGGCTCCAATGTCAAACTTCAGCTTACCTCTAACTAATAAACGATCACTGAACACCCGCTATGTGCTCGTCCCTATGCTGGGCTCCAACAGTAACAATGCCAGTGGCAGTTACCACTTGTTTGTGACTCTGTGCCAGAAACAAAGACTTTGCACTGGGACATTTACATGTACTCAGCAAATACCAGGCACAGAGTAAGCCCTTGGTATTATTAGCCATGGTTCTCAGTTTCTTATGTGCTGTTTCTAACAACTCAACAAAGTAGGTACTCTTATCCCCATCATACAGAAGCTACAATAATGACCTCTAAATGACACACACGAAAGAATGGCAGAGTTAGCGTCCAAACAGCCTGACTCCACAGCCTGAACACTTCTTAGTTTTTATTTGGAATTTGAAAAAATTCCAGACGTACAGAGGAGTTGCAGCAATAGTAAAAATATTAAAAACAGCTTCCAATACCCTTCCCTATATTCAACAATTCCTAATATTTCTATTGTATTTTCTTACTCTATGTCTATACCTAGATATAGATCTAGGCATACACACACAAACCATGTACACATTATTATTATTATTATTCTTTTGCTGAGCTATTTGAGAGTGAATTGCAGTCATCATAGACCCTTTACCCTTAAGCACTTCTGCGTGTGTGTCTCCTAAAAGCTAATCAAAGGATACTCTCTTACATAATCACGGTATAATCATCAATTAGAGTCTATATTCAGATTTCACCAGTTGTCCCAAAATGTCCTTTATAACAGTTATTGATCTTCCTCATCCAGGATCCAATCCATCATCACAGGCGGCATTTCATCGTTGTGTCTCTTTAGTGTCTTTTAATCTGGCCCATTCCTCAGTGTCTTTCATGACACTGACATCTGTGATTCGTAAAGGCCAATTCTTTATAGAAAGTCCCTCGTATCAGACTTGCCTGGTGCTTCCTCATGATTAGATTCACGTTATGCACAGAACTGATGGTGCGTCCTTCTCAGTGCAGCCTATCAGGAGGCACATGGTATCAGTGTGTCCCATTGGTGACAGTAACTTTGATCACTTAGCGTGGTATCTGCAGGTTTCCTCCTCTATAAAGTTAACATTTTCTCCTTTGTAACTAGTAAGTCATCTGTAGGAAGATATTTTGCAAGTGTGTATTTCACATCCTGTAGTCTCCCCTCCTATAAACACTGCCTTCTTAAATGTTGCTGAGTCTAATTCATTTGGATGCAAGAGTGTATGCCAGATATTGGAATAGGTACATGGACCCGTCTTGCTCTGCCTACCTTGCCCTGGCCTTTCCCAGGCCTCTCCGCGTCCTACCCAAATAGCAACCTCAGTTGTTTCTCTTTTTCAAATCAAATAGAGAGAGAAACCAGGAGCAAGGAGCAAGGGTACGGGCTGGCCGTCAGGTGGACGGTGTGTGGGCAGACCAAAAGCAGATGGTATTGGAGAGCACCCTGTGGCCCTGCTGCAGCAGCACAGGTAGGAATATGTGTGTGTGTGTGTGTGTGTGTGTGTGTGTGTGTGTGTGTGTGCGCGTGCACACACATGTGCAGGTGTGTGTATGTAGGGACCTCAGAAGCTTCCCTCCCAGGAGGTGACCAGGAGAAGGAAAGACTCTCCTCCTCTCCAAAGGTATGGGGCCCTGCCAAGCAAACAGGGAGTGAGGTCCCTCCTTCCACACATCAAGAACCAGAAGAAGGGAAGAAAACGTGTGATGGAGACTCAGTCTTATTCACTGCTGTATCTCCAGTGTGGAGCAAGAGGGCAGGCTCAGTGTCTGTGTCCAGAAATGCTCCTTACTCAACAGTTCTGGGATGGGACCCAGGAACCTGAATTTTAACAAGTGTCTCAGGGGACTCGGATGCTGTTGGTCTGAGAGACAGGCCTTGGATCCGTTGCCAAGTTCACAAAACCAGAAAGCCAAAGGGAGAACAGCCCCTCCCAACAGCCTCAGATGGACTAGGGTGAGCAGCACTCATGAGAGAGAGAGAGATGGAAATGACAGTCATTCCCCTCTCACTGACCCTCACATTCCCATCGGATGTCAGGGAAGAGCAGGAATGAGTCTTCCCATTTTACAGAGGAGGAAAACTGAGGCCAAGAAGGGGCAGCATCTGGCCCCATGTCAGGGACTAGGCAGGCCCAAGACCTTCCTTGTTTCCCTGAAGCTCCTTCAGTGAACTCCACTTTACAGACAAAATTTCCCCAAAATGACGTGACTTCTTTAGGGAAACTGCTGTATTTCAGAGCCCGACTTTGAACTGTGAGCACAAACATGCCCCAGTGTGCCTCTGACAGGCACTTCTGGACCAACCTATTAAGCAAATCCAGTTCCCAGCAGAGCTCTCCATGTGCTCCCTCACTTTCTTCTCAGCCTAATTAGACCCCAAGAGCTCAGAGATCACACCAAGTACAGTCCTGGGGAGATGCAAGTAGCAGCAGGCTGACAAGCAGAACGCAGAAGGGGCGAGAACCAGCCTGGCAGGCAGGATGGGTACCTGAGCCCCACATCTGGTTCCACAGCCAACAAATTGGCTTCCTATTTCCCTCCTTTGGAAGGAATGGGTTAGCTCGAACCTCTGTCAAGGTCCCTAAGGTTGGAATTCTAAAAACAATGCCCCAAAGAGTAATGCCTCCCTAGTCATGCTGGGCCCCGGTCATGCTGGGATTCGGTAGTCATTCACCTGCTTTCTGGCTCCCACCAGGCCCCAGTGGGGCGGAGTGGCCCCAAGGAGGGCCAAGTCCTAAGAATGCAGGCTTTGTTCGTACAGGTTAAAAGCCAGAGGCTTCACAGGGCTCGAAGTCATGGAGCATCGGGAAGGGGCCTGAGGCTGCAACAGCCATCCATCCCCCTGCAGCTCAACTGCTGCAAGTGCCAGGACATGACTGGTGGGCCGGAGAAAACACAACATCCAAACGAGTTCTTATACCTTGAGAGTGCAGAGTACAGTGATTTGGCAGATGGCTTCCTTTTGCACTCACCACACTTTATGTCCATGTAACAACCCTGTAAGGGAACACGTTCAGTTTTATCCATCTTCCCATCCCTTAAAAATTATCCAAAGACACCTATGTGCCAGGTGCTGGGGGGATGACAGGGACAGCAGTGGATGGGACAGCAGTGGTCTCTGTGTTCATGGGATTCATAATGCACTGAGGCAGGCAGACATGAAACAAGTGCCTGTCCGGTGGATTATTTAATTTGTGATAAATAGTAAGAGATGTTAAGGGGTGGTGAATGTATGTGCTGGAAGGAACGACCTAATCTAACCCCATCTGGGGAGGAGAGGCGGCTTTTTCAAGGCGAAGTGATGGGCCCAGGATCCCCCTGGGAGTGGGCTGGGGGAAGCTGGGGCGAGACTGAGGTTCTTCTTGAATCCAGTCAGTCCGTCCTGACACTGGAGTCCCCGGCACCCTAGTTCCAGGTGTCCTGTCCTATCTTGCCCTGACTTCCGTGCCCCCAGCTTTCTCTTTTTTTCTGCAACAGGAATTCCCAAGGGTGAAGATTCTGCCTGTGTTCTCTGCTAGCTGCAACTGAGACACCACTGCATCCAGTTAATCCTGCTTAATTTCTGACCTACTTTTCCTTAAGAAATACAATAAAATTCCCCCATACTGGTCTGCATTTCCATTTTGTTTTATCTTCACCCTAATTTTTTCTATTGTTTTACATAGTTACATTTCCCAAGGTGGTGTTACAAGGTAGAATTAAAAAAAAAAAGCTAACACATACCAAACCCTCGCGTGCCAGCCGGGCAGCTTCACGTGGGGTGTCCCGTGTGCTCATCACACAGCCTAATGGGAGACGTTGGCCTCCTTGTCATTTTGCAGACAAGGAACTGGGGCACAGAAGGGTTAACTGAATTGCCACAGTCACAGCTGATAAGGAAACAGCTGGGGTTCAAACCTAGGCGGTCCAGCCCAGAACTGGGCTCTTAAACCTATTCGTCTACTCTAAGCAGAAGTCATCCTTCATCCACTGGTGACTAGTTCATCTATGAGCAACACCATTTATTCATTCATCAAATGTATCTAGAGCTCCCACCATGTGCCAAGCACTGTTCCAGGCACTGGGAATTCAGTTGTGAGCAAAGCCTCTGACCTCGAAGAGCTCATATTCTAACAGAGGCAAGAATAATAAAAACAAGTAAATGTATGTGAGATGGTGGTGATTGCAAAGGGAGAAAAATTAAGAGGATGGGGGTGCTGGAGAGCATTATTATATCTATAAGGAATGCATATGCTGTGTAGTGGTTACAGAAGGCCTCACGGATGAGGGATGATTTGAGTAAAGTCCCTCAAGAGTTGGCCTTGAGAACATCCGGGTAAAGAACAGTCCGAGCAGAGTGGAAACCCAACACCAGGGCCCTGAGGCAAGAGTGTGGAAGGAGGAAGAGCATGAAGGTCAGGGTGGCTCGATGGCACAGAGCGAGGGTGTGAGTGGGAGGGAAGGAGGCCGAGAGGGAACGGGAGGCCAGCTCACAGGGACCCTTAGAGGCCACCGTAAGGACTTAAAAGATCTCACTTGGCGAGACGGGAGCCATCAGAGAGTTTAAGTAGAAAAATGGCACAATCTGACCTGCATTTAATGTCACTCTAGAAAGGGTCAAATACTGGACACATTCTTAGGGTAAAACTTATCTCTGATGGATAGGGTGTGGGGACTGGAGAAGAGTCAAGAATGACTCCAGAGTTTTGGGCCTGAGCCACTGCAAGGATGGAGTTGCCATTTAGGAGCTTGGTGGGGGGAGAATTAGGAGTGTAGGTTTAGACATTTTGAGTCTGAGATGCCTTTTAAAGGTCCCACTGGCGATGTTGGGTAGACACCTGGGTGTACTTTCTTTTGAGAAGTTTTGCTGTAAAGGGAAGCAGAGAGCTGAAGCAACCAACCAGAGGTATCTATGTCAGTGATTGCCCAATTTTTTCTATTCATGAACCATTTCACCTGGGCCAGGTATCCCCACACATCACTTACATTTATCACACTCTCTGGGGAGGATCAAAGTGGTCTGTATTTTGATTTGGGTAATGGTTACACTACTGTAGTTAGATGTAGAAATTCATCGAGCTGTTTACTTTAGATTTGTGCATCTGAAGATAAGTAAATTAAATCTAAAAAATAAAAAAAAAGTGAAGAGTCTGGATGATGGGATGTCTGTTTTGATTAAAAGTACGAGAAGATTCACAGCATCTTAGCACTGATGAGGACTCAGAGGGGAGCGACCTCACCTCTGTCATTTTCCAGCCTGGGGCGCACAGCACTGGACCTGTAGGCCTGTCTCCCACACTGGGGCTGTAGAGCCAGCTCAGGGCTTCACAGGGTTCAGACCACCTGCTCTCCCCAGGAGCCCCCAGTTTACCCTCCAGGAAAGAATGTGAAGCGTGGGAAAGGCTCTGCAGGGGGCCACCGTGGCTTGTTGGAGGAGACCATACTAACAATGGGGAACAAAAGCCCCTTCCAAAGGAGAAGGCTAGCCATTGAGGGCCGCAGTCCACTTCAACCAAAAACGAGCCTGCCGGCCGAGAACCTGCCAAGGAAGGAGAACAAAGGAGGAGGCTGCTGAATGGTGGCCTCGCCGGGCCAGCTTGGGCCCCTCCTTCCCCCGGACCCACCTGCTCATCTCTTTCCTCAGCCTGTCCAGACAAAAGCAAAGACTGAGGGCTCTCTCAACTTCCAATTAGCTTTTCAAATGAAATAATGACCACTGGGACCCGCCGCTCCTTGTGGTTTTCGAGGTGAATGCAGTTACAAAGGAAAAGACTGTGATGACAACAAATCCGGTGCTTCATCTCCATTAACTACGATACTAAGTGTGGCTTAAAGGACTTAACCCCTCCCCACAGAGGTGCTGGGGGCTTCCCATTCCCTTGGAGGTCCCACTTATGATGGAGTACTACTTTTTTTCCCCCGAAAGAAATGCTCTAATCAATGGGGGACTTGCCACTTAACGATAATCCCTTATGTTTGTTATTAACTTGAAGTTCACAAAGTGGTTTTCCATCCATTGCTTCACGTGCTCCCTACCACCGTCCTTGGGGGCGGGCAGAACAGAGCTAAGAGGCCGGGTCCTATAGCTCAGAGGGAGCGAAGCTGGGAACTGACTCCTGATTCCGGGACATGGCTCTCGTGCTGTTTCAAGACTCCAGGCCCCTCAGGTGGGGAAGCAATTGAATTCAACCAACCAACCAACCACCCAAGAAATGTGGACCTGGTACAAAGTGCTTAGTGGGCTCCTGCTCACAACCCACAGAAAGTAACAGTGGTAATATCTACACTAGTCAGAGCAAACCCTGAATCAATGCTAAATGCCAGGCACTATGGTACGTGTTTTGGGTGTGACCTCATTTAATCCTTGCAAAGCCCTCAGAGGTATTATCCCACTTTAACAGATGGTAAACTAAGGACCAGGAGGGTGAAGAAAGGTAAGTTAGCCTCTGACCTGCTGTGCTTAGGACTCTTTAGAGACGGCCAGGTCCAGGCACTACTGTGGTGTCCAATTAAAACCAGAGCTGCACAGGAGTTAAAGCAGTTAAATTCAGGATTATTTTAACAGGGGGAAAGAGACCTCAGTATAGAAGTGGGCTCCACTCAGAATAGCGCAGGGTATAGCAGGAACTTACAGCCAAGGAGCAAGGTGGGCATCAATGGATGGAAACTTCCTAAGAGGAAAGAAACATCAGGGGTTAAGGGGATTCTGGCTAAACCAACCGAACAGGATTCTTGCTGAAGACCGGCCAGGGAGACCAGATATCACCTAGGGGATGGTGGGAGAGGAGGAATCTGGTCAGCTGTCAGGGTGGGAGGTTCTGGTTAAATTGTTCAACAGGGTTCTTGCTAAAACTGGGCATTGGAGAAATTTCAGGAGCCTGACTAAAGCTTGGTTAAGCAAAGAATATTTGCCAGTGGTGATTAATTTGAGCAACAAACCCAGGTGATTTCATAAATCATAGGAGTTAGGCCTGTTCTCAACTGTAGCCTCCCCAGGCCCTCCATTAGCTATAAGCAAGTAGACTCTTTGCTGCAGCCTTCAAGAGGCTTCTCCTAGTGGGTAGGGCCAGAAAGACAGCACATGAGCCATTCTGCCTCTGCACTATCCCAGCGTAACATTCAAGTTCCCTAAAATTTGCTGTTGTTCCTAAAACAAAATCTACCCTCCTTACCACAGCCCCTGAAAGCCGTATTTGTTCTGCTCCCGAGGGGACTCTCCTGCGCCCTAGTTACACTGGCCTGCTTTCAGCTCACATGTGCCAAGTGCTTGCCTCAGAGCCTTCGCTTACGTTGCTTCTCTGTCTAGAATGTTCCTCCCCAGCTCTGCAAAGACTCCTTTTCCTTCGATCATCAGCTTAGCCTTCCTAAACCTTCTAGATAAAAACTGCTTCTCACAAAATCACAATTTCCTCACTGTATCGAAGTCCAGCTAAGTTGGAAAGCAATCTGATTAAAATAATTTCTATCCCCCAAACTCAATAAATACTCTTATGATTACCTGTATTTCAAAAGTTATCTATTACTATGTTTCAATTAATAGAAGTAAAGGTAATGAGCCAAAGTATTAGGGCAGATGCCAAGTATTCTAGAGGCATGAAGTTCCTTCAGCCACAGGAGGAGGTAGTTATTATCTCTCTTCTATGGAAGGAAAAAGGGAGGCTCAGAGACATTAAGCCACTTGCCCAAAGTCCTTCAGTGGTGGGCGAGCCTGCTCTTACCACTTGCAGGGTGAAGTCCGCACACGTAACCACACTGCGCGATATTACTTCTCTAAGTGACACTGTATAACCTCCATGTAACGGTGGTCCTGGGCACAACTTCAAAGGGGCATTCCTGAGATGTGTGTGTCCCTCTAAGAACCTAAGATAACTCATGAGGTCACTCTTTTTTCAAAATAGTCCCTTCCCTTCACCACTGCATACCAAGACTAAACTTTCAAGGCAAAAGCAGAGGGGCCTTCATATATCAACAGGGCATAGTTGGCACCCACTGCCAGAGAAGAAAGGATGCTGGCTTTTCCACACAATTCTCAGTTCTGTTAAGAAAGAGGTGAGACAGACCAATGTAACGGTTCCCGGAGAAACACCCTGGCCACCGTGTTAAGCACACTTCCCAAGTAAGGCCTCCTGTACATGCCCTGGGGACCATCAGCCCCAGAGAACCAGCATAAACTCTCAGGTCTTCGTTCCTGTTATTCTCTTTATTCCATAACAGGTTAATTACAGATTTCAACTTTTCAATGCAACGCGTGGGTATGTCAGAGTATTCACAGCATCTTGCTAGGGCACCACGCCAAAGAAACAGGGCTCACAGGTATCTGCTCTGTGTTGGGGAAACAGAAACAAGCAAAAGTACAACCACAATTTAGACTTTTTTCTCTTTAAATAAAGTTTTGTTTCATTCCTCTTTTCAAACTGAATTGTTCTTGACTCTTTTCTTGATTTTTCACTTCAGCTTTCAGAATTTCCTTCCTTCTGCTGGAACTAGTGTGCTGTCCTGAAAGAAAATGGAAACAAACACAAAATTACTGAAGGTTTCAATTCACTATTACAGTTCCTAACTGGTGACAACAGAGAGACCAAGGTTCTCTCCCACTACGAGATCCCAGTTATAAGGGAATAATATCATTTATCTAT